TGGCCTGCGGGCCGTAGTTCGCCCACCCCTGTCTTAGCCAGTGGAAGAGTAGACGAGTGAGGATTCCTATGTTCCATATTCCACACTCTGCTACTCACTCATGTGACTTTGGGCAAATCATGGAACCATTGCGCCTTACCCACCTGAGAACCGGGAATGAAGAGTGCAAAGCACTTTTATTTTTCAATTCTCTTTCAAGAGTCTGGTTCAACTTCCACTGAAGTCAGTGGAAAAACTGCCTTTGACATCAAGTAAGGGTTGGATCAGGCTTCAAGGCAGCACTTCTTAGCGTATGCTCAACATGCCTCAGGTGGCACATGACCGGGATTCATCACTGAAATACAGTGAAGTAATTCCATTGTGATTTATAACTTAGTCTAGCATATTAGGCCCCAGGCCAGAGCTCCATGTACATTCCAGTGCCAATGTTTGCTCTGAACTTTACATGTACTTTCTGGATTTCAGGGTTGGCCTTAAGTGCCCTTGAAACAAACAGCTGCAGGTGGAACCACAGGCACATGTGGGTACTAATGTGTTGCTCGTTAATTTCCATATACTCCATCCTCTTATCTGACCCCTTAATGTAAACCACTGCTGACCCTGCCTGTGCTCCTAAGTGTTTTTATTTATTTATTTTTTCTTTAACCACATGTAGGCAGATTTCTGGTCCTACGGCTTCCTCTGCTTGGATGCCAGCAATGTTAATAACAGCTTTGCCTGCCATGGGCCTAGAGAATATGGGCTTCTCCTGGCATCTTCAGTCTGAAGTGAAAAGCTAGCATTTTTGGCTAGGTGAAAACTCTGCTAAAATATTTCCCTTTGGCCCCAAATAGGGCATTTAATCTGGTCAGGGAAACCTGTTCTAAGGCGAGTCATGTTTAGGTTAGTTCTTTGTTTTAATTGTGTTGGTCTGCTTATTACATAGTCCTGCCTTGAGGGCAGGGGACTGGACTAGATGACTTCTCGAGGTCCCTTCCAGTCCTACACTTCTGTGATTTTATGAGTCTTCTACACTAACTTGGGGACAGAGAGGTGCTGAACCACTGCAGCAACCAGGGAGGTTAATGGGATCTGCTAACTGTTATTTCTTGTTGTTGAATTAGTATCACAGCAGCACCTAGGGGTCCCAGCTGGGATCAAGGTTGAATTGTAGCTGGCACTGGCTACTCACACAGTGAGAGTTTGCAATCTCAATAGACAGAGAAAGAGATACAACATCAGAGCAAAAGTCTGGAGACTGAGTAACAGGGAGATTTTTAAGGGAGTTGCCCATGGTCACACAGGGAGTCTGTGGCAGAGACAGGAGCTGAACTCGGATCTCCTGAGTCCTTGGCCAGTGCTTTCACTACAAGATCATGCTTCCTTCCATTGCTCAGGGCTTTTCAGAATCAGAGTTTTTAATTACAGCCCCTTGCTTGAGGAAACATGCTACCGAATTAAAGAAGAGTGTCCCCTCTCCCCCAAACTCTGTGTTCAAATGCCCCTGATCCTTGAGGAAGTTAGGCCTGAAGCATAACTTTCAGATTCCAGTCCAAACTCTTTAGCCCACACTCTCTTGCATATATTCATCCCTAAATTCAATTCATCCCAGTTTAATTTTCCATACAAATCAATTGTTTAGATGTTACGTGTTTTTCCCAATATCTGACGTAACACCACAGTCCTGCAGCATGGCTCCTCTCTCCTTGCCACTTGCAGTACAGTTCAGATTGAATTAGAGGCAGCCCAGAATCCCAAATCCCAAACTCTTCCTGTTTCCAGAGGTGAGCGGAGCATTTGGCTTTGAATTCCCAGATCTGAATCCCGCTTCTGGGTTGGATCCTAAATCAGAAAGGGCCTGTTTTCTGCTTTGAATGCCGACAGTATCTATTACGGTATCTTGAGATTTGGGGCCTGTCCAGTCCAAACCCTGGCACCGATTCAACCCCCAGCCTGGACTCTAGCATAATCCAGAAACAAACTGCATAAGAACATAAGAACGGCCATACTGGGTCAGACCAAAGGTCCATCTAGCCCAGTATCCTGTCTTCCGACAGTGGCCAATGCCAGGTGCCCCAGAGGGAATGAACAGAACAGGTAATCATCAGGTGATCCATCCCGTCGCCCATTCCCAGCTTCTGGCAAACAGAGGCTAGTGACATCATCCCTGCCCATCCTGGCTAATAGTCATTGATGGACCTATCCTCCATGAATTTATCTAGTTCTTTTTTGAGCCTGGTTATAGTCTTGGCCTTCACAACATCCTCTGGCAAAGAGTTCCACAGACTGACAGTGCATTGTGTGAAGAAATACTTCCTTTTGTTTGTTTTAAACCTGCTGCCTATTAATTTAATTTGGTGACCCCTAGTTCTCAACCCTTCTCTAGTTCAGATCTCTTTTTAAATCTGACTTAATTCCCACAGCTCTGACCATCCCCTGAGCATCAGATGCTTTATGGTTGAGACTTTCAGAGTAGCACAGGGGGATTAGACACATCTTCCATTATTCTTAATGAAAGAGATGTCAGAAATCCCATAGATCAACCTGTGCTTCTGAACTACTTTGTTCCTCCAACATCAATGACCCTGCTTTGAGTTTACAATCTACTGCACAACCTCAAGTACACCGTTGGGACACTCCAGAACTAAAGATTACACTGGTGAATTCTGGATAGCTGTGTGAATGAATAAGCATAAGCCCGAGAAACAACCAGCATTGTCTGATTGTGTCTGTGCTTGATTTCAGCTGACTCTTCTGGTGGTGCAAGTCAGTATCCTTTATTATGGTGGCCATCTGGTGATCTCTGAGCAAATGACCAGCGGAAACCTGATATCTTTTATTATTTATGAATTTGTCTTGGGAGATTGCATGGAGGTGAGTGTGGTTTATCCATCCACCAGATTTTTTTCACATCCCAGGCTGGAAAGCTGTGGGAGGGGAAGTAGAAGTGTTTTGTTTCTCTCTAGGTCACCATCGTCATAGTATTTTATCACCTCCCAAGTATTTAAAAATGGAAACAATGACAGTCACTCTTTATTTCCCCTCCCCCCCCCAGCTGATAGGAGTAATAGCTGGGTCAGGGTATAGGGTTTTGCTTGGTGGGGGGGTGGGTGTTATAGGAAAGTTATGTAGGCTCTGTCTACACTACAGCCGGGATTGACGCTCTGAGATCGATCCACCGGCGGTCCATTTAGCGGGTCTAGTGAAGACCCGCCAAATCAATCTCAGAGCGTCAATCCCGGCTGTAGTGTAGACAGAGCCTACATAACTTTCCTATAACACCCACCCCCCCACCAAGCAAAACCCTATACCCTGACCCAGCTAT